AGAGTGTAAAAGTGTATCCATTTATTAGACTTCCCATGCTTCCTCTAGAAAGAATTGAGCTCCTTTTTACTTACCTTCGATCTGAACATATTTAATAATGTTCAGCGACTTTGCAGATATCCTTAAATAGCTGCATGAATTGTAACTTAACACGTTGTGTTGTCAGGACGTGGGTGTTTGGAAAGCGAGTAGCGGTCTCAGAAGAAATCGATCGTAAAATCTTCGTTAGTTGAGTTTTAGTCGAAAATTCTCACCAGAACGGAAGTTCTCCTTTTCATAGATTGTCTTTCATTAGCTGTAGTTTCTTATGTGTGTGTACCCAAAATAGATTCATTACATAAATTGAATGAGAAATATTTATTCAAGAAATGGCAAGATCTTAAAAACGGAAGGCTTCTGGTTCGAGAGGGAAGAGATTTTGTGTGTTTGTTTAACAGTATAAACCCGCTGAAATTTTGTTACTCCATTCAGTGCCAAACAAAATTGTTAAATGCAGAAAAATGTATATATACCACAGATATGTACAATTATTTATATATCTTCTTTAACTAAATGAATACTGAATGGGACAAATCGATAAAAAATTAAAGTTTGTTCCTTTTTATAAATACTTTAAATTACGCTCAAATGTTGATGAAATGTGGGTCCAAATACTTTTTTGGATACTTACGCTATTATCCCGTCGACCGTTGGCAGAAATTTGGACAGTGGTCGCCAGTCGTTACTGAGGAATTGCTTAATGGCGCTAAATCGTGCTACTTGGCCGGTCGACAGGATAATACGTAAGTACGCTTCTTTGATTCAATGTGGTGTTATTTCCAAAAATACTATTATTCAGGCCGGTTATTGGCCTGTTAACGTTTTGTTAGCAACGAGTAATTGTTTTATTGCATATCTCTATATATATATCTATTCTGATTTTGAAATATAAGGCTGCTATCACACACCCGTCTGTTTCGGAAGAACAACTGCTTGGAAAAAAATTTTCTGCGTTATCAGAACAGCCAGTCACCACAGATCACTTTGGAGTTAATACAGGGAAAACTGGTTCTCCATTACAAACAAGCTGATAGCTGATTGGTTGAAAACGAACAACTTGCAATATTTTTCGAAAGAAAGGAAAAAATCGTGCGTCTTTCTTTCAATAGTAAACCAGGCAGAAAAATTGTTCCAGACAGTTATTCGTGTGAAACAAATGCGTGTGTGATGTCGGCCTTTGACGATCGTAGTTATGAATCATGTATTTGACCCGCAAATATTTGCTACAGTTCAACGCTTGCTAAAGCTTATATTTCCAGAATTGCCACTATTTATACCAAGGTTTTCGATACTGAATCAACTGATTTCGACTGAACACGTTTAAAGTTTATTCGACAGCAGTTCACTTCGGCTGTATTTTGTGTCCTCTCTGCAGCTACTTTTCCAACAATTGTTACACTGCTAGAAACATTTCAATATTTTTTGTTACATTGAAAAGGGCCCTGAATCCGTAAATATATATTGCAATATTTCTTTATTTCAAAACAGAAAAGCTCACTAGGGCTACCTGCTTAAGGGGAAGAATACCTTCGGTGCCCCATTAATAGCCGGCTGGTTAAGACCAATGAAGTCTGAGGGTTCGACTCGGGTTATATCCAGACGAACGGACTGGCTGCATAGTTTTGGGGTTTTCTCATGAGCAAACGAAGCAGTTTTTCTTAGAAAGTTTTCCACCCAAGCATCCTTTCCCTTAAGCAGACAGCCCTCGTATGCTTTGCCATATTCAAATAACTTAATCAGCTAATCAGTCGAGGAGAACTTTATAAGGGGAATTGGCTAGTATTTACGCATGGGGAAAATTGATTATCTGGATTAGGGCAAAGCACGCAAAGGCTATCTGCTTAAAGGAAGGGATGCCTCGTAGAGGTCTTTCTTAGGAAAACTGGCGAGTATTCACAGGGCTGTAGAGTCGGTAGGGAAAATGACCGATTCTGACTTCGACTCCTGGAATTTTAAACACTCCGACTCCCTCATATATGAATGTCTGTAAATATATACACATGGGTTACAGCTTATTATTTTTTTAATATAAAAGAAGTAATAGAAGCTACAGGAAAAAATTGATGGCATAGCAAATTATTTATATTAATTAGCATTTATTATGAAATGGAAAAACTGGCATTAGTTATTTCTGAGAAACAGTATCGCTTCGGCAAGATCGTCTTTGTTGAAGAGCCATAGATTCGATTTGATAAACTTCAGAGCTGAGAAGAGTTTTCCACACTAACTTGAGTAGGAAGAAGAGCTTTTACTGTTAGGGCTACTTCTTTTAACTTTTCAGGATAGATTTTTATAAGTTTTAAAAGCGCAATCATATTTCTCTTATTTCTTCGAAGGCCGAGTAGAAATTTTGTTTGTATTTTTTCATTTTTATAAAGGACTTTATTTCATAAAGGCTCTTGGTTCTTTATTTTCATTCGCTTTTGCCTTAACCTTTTCAATATTATCCAAAGATATTTCTCAAAATCTAATTCATCACTGGAAGAGGATGATAGACACTCAATTGCAATGTCTGCAGTTTGACTGTCCGGATTTGAATTCCCCAACTGCTCTGAGAATAATTTCATTCTTAATGAAAGCTCATAGATGGCTTTCTTTGCCTTTTTAATTTGTTCGTTATCCAAGAAAATTCGATGTTTCGGATCTACATATATTGAACCCAGCAAGATCTCCTTCTGCAATAAACCCTCCATCTCAGAAAAAAACAAACATCACAGTCTAGTCTTCCCTTCTCACCTCCTGTCAGTTCTTCAGACTGCAGCTTTTTTTTTTTTTTTTTTTTTTTGTGGCTATATATGGTGTAGAAAGAAGAGTTTCCAATTCTGCAAGATCATTCCACAGTCTCTCTGTTAGTGAAACATTAGGGTTATCTACATCTAAAAAAGTTCTTAATTCTAACAACCTCTTTATCATCAAATATGTGCTTCCTTATCGCGTTGCTTGATCAATAATTGCTCCTTTTCCTGCTCACTTCCTAAGAATGGCATCAATTTTGGGAGTTCTTGCTGCTATTCCTGTTTACCTAAATTTACCAGCGAGATTTGTAACTAAACGAATCAGTTTAATCATTAATGGCAAATATCACATCTATCCTCCCCCTTATATTTATTTATTAATATGTCAATAAAATAACTATTTATTAATGTATATAGTCCATAAATTGTCATTATTTTTTTCAATTCATTTTAATTTTCAAATTCAAATTTCAAATTCAAACTGTCCAATTGAATGTCCAATTGAAAAATCCATTTGAATTTCAAATTCAAACTGTCCAACAAAAACTGGAGTCGGAGTCGAACTCCAGCTCCGACTCTTTTAGCGACTCCAGCTCCGACTCCTTTTACCCGAAAATCTGCCGACTCCGATTCCGTCTCCATGACTCCGACTCCACAGTATTCACATTGAACATGGGGAAATCCACGAAAGTTCCCATGTAGCCAACTCGTTCGCGAAATTTGAATTCAGGCCTAATTACTTGGCTCTCGGCCACCAGTAGGCCTCTGCGTTGGAGATATCAATAAAGCATCATTCAATCGATACGGTGGGATTCCAGCTCGGGTCGAATTATTAGGTCAGTGATATCTAAATCCTTTTTTTTAAATCAAGAATAATTTAAACTTAGAATGGATAAATATTACTTGCACAAAATGACTAAGTAGCAAAATTTGAGTAGCAAAAAATGAGTTTTAAATTTTTAAAATTTAAGAAAAGTTTTGCTTATAAAAGAACTGAGTAGTAAAATAAGATAACTTATGAATCAGAAGTGACCATTTATAGAAAAGGTTGAGAACTACAGGTCTGGAGACAAATTTATGAGAAAGCTTTTACATTTCATGAAATTATCTCAGTAGCAAGGTATTGACATTATTAAGAAGTGTGCAGACATTACGAATATTAAATGTCAGCGATGCATGTCTTGCAAAATCTGCGGAAGATATTCTGAAAATACAAAGGCAAGTTAGCATATATCGCACAAAAACGATTAACGTTGTAGAATTCTGCAGTTCGCTTCTAAAAGTCAATTCAGAGATCATTATGCAGAGATTTTTCTTTTTCGCATATTTGAAAGGAAAAAAATCTAATTTTTCCGCAGTAACTGTTAAACTGTAATTAGCAAAAGACATTATTTCATAAAAGCATAAATTAAATTTAAGATGTAGCCGCAGGCATTTCATTCGAAATGGGAAAACGTTTTATACTTTCGATTAAAAAACGAAAAAAAAAAAAAAAAAGTTACAGCGATTAAAAATGACAGTTCAGGAATAAAAGGTGGCCGTTCCCCCCCTCCATTTAGTATGATGTAATTGCAAATTTAGCTGAAATTATTTCGGTTTCAGTGTAAATATATACGCATACGTACGTATACATATATATTAGAGCTTTCTGAGATGGAGAAGTGAATGTCTTTGGCATATATATGATTTTTGGATGCACTTCTGCTGCTTCTGACTTAGTTTGTCGTGTAGGTTTTCATTAATTAACTTTTATAATTGTTACTAACTAATGAGTTAAATGCCGTTTGAAAGCTTACCTTATACAGTATACCACGATACTGTTCCTATCTTTTAATTTATGTATGTTCCTATCTTTTAATTATGGTCGCCAATTTTGGGAGTTTTGGCTATTTCTTGCCAAATTTTTGCGACAAAAATTAGCTGGCAAAGCCATTTTATCTCGCCATTTACCTCAAATGGACTTGCTTCCATAATCTTATTTTATGTTACATTAACAAGATATGTTACATTAACAAGCATTTTATGTTACATTAACAAGATATACCACAATTTTAAGTATAATTTCGCTAAAATTATTTGCATGGATGCAAAATTCGTAACATTTTATATATATAATATTTATCCATACGTGGAAACAAATGAAATGAGATTTGTTTTCATGGATGGATAAATACAAAAATTTAATTTTAATATATTTTTATTTCTGATGAAAATTCTGTATTCTAGGATTTCTATTTCTGTGCACCCGAAGATCCAGAAGCATTAAAAAATGAGGGAAAAGAAAGGTAAGACATATTTCCAAATTTATAATGATATTTACTTGTTCTTATGGTTACATATATTTTGAGTATACTTTATAATATTTCTGCTCTTAAAACGGACTAAATTAAACAATCCTGCATTGCAGTTTAAAATTACCCAATTTATTTTTATGTGATGAAATTTTTTTTTTTTTTTTTTTTTTTCTGATTAAATGAATTTTCTGAAATGCTTAGCTACTGATCGAAGTCTCATGCAGTATTATATTCAGCTTGCTGTGTTTTATACTCTGAAGAGCCACCTCCCCCTCCCCTTCCAAAAAAAAAACTGGTATAAGCGTACGTATGTAAATAACAGAGGTATGGAACCAATCACAGCAAAGCGCGGCGCGTTCACGTGAATACGCTCACGACGTAGTTGCCACCATTTTTTTTCCACCGGCGTAAATTCGCATAGCGCAGAAGACGTAAACCCGACAGCAGCAATTTAAAACTTGAATCAAAAAAAAAAAAAAAAAAATCTTTTTTGAAACTTGCATAAATATAATATTCTTAGGAAATTTTAAAATTTCTTTTGTATTTTGATTTAACGGTGTAACACTTAAAACATTTGGAATGCCATTTTATAATACATGTCACAATGTGGTAATATAATTATTAATCTTTAATTCTTTGTCTGTATTTTTTGTTCTGTATTATGAGTCATGAACTTACATTATAGTTCAAAGTAATGTAAAAAAAAGGAAAATAACACAGTTTGATAAAATTTATTATTAAATGTTAGCTTTGCAACATTTTATTATTAACAGAAAACTTATGAAGTCTTTTAGTAATGTACTCTTTAACCCACCAGTTAAGCGTGTGATCCCTGCATTTCAAAATCAAGAGAATCTTAAACACGTTTATTCCAAAACTTTATTTTCCGAGTTGCGCCAGTACTGCAGCCCCATGAACGACGTGTAGTATATTTTCTCCGTGTGGTGTTATGTATATGCTAATCAAATCTAATAGAATCTTTTTAATATCTGGTGTGTTATAGCAATTTTTTTAGGATTGGTTTGTTTTATATTAACCCTCAATTAAACTATTATATGATATTGTCTGGAATGGTTCCTTTTTAAACTATGATTATTATTAATGTCTTTAATCTTCTGTGCCTGCATTTTCAATTTTTAATAGTTTTACATTTTTACGTTCTATATTTTGTCAGTATTTTTGTAACATACACGATACACTTAAGTTTTTAATAATAATTTAAATTCACGTGAAATATTGAATAACGTATGAACTCGAAATATATTTAATTGAATTAATATTCATTTAGTATTTTGTTTCTTCTAATCTTTTTCTGAATAATTTATAAATTCTCCTTCTTATAATATATATTGGCATTTATCAATCATTACCATTATCGCTCTTGAAATCTGACCCAAGTTCCTTTTCGTATAGTTTTTAAAACATACACAGAAACGATGCTTGAAAATACCTAAATAAGTCAATTAAAAATGATTCCTTCCGAAGGAGATAACTCTCAAAACCCAAACTAAAACTATTTGCATAAAATAAACGTAGTTACTCATGTAAACAAATGAGGGATAAAATTTTCGGATGCAAGATATGTGCTCTTTTTATGCATTGTAAGGTCCCTCACTTGAAATTCTAAGTTAATGTTGGAAGTGAGGAACCTAGGAACTGATAAGCGAATAATCGCTAGAGTTCGAAGACAGGAAACAACAAGAGAGAAGGGTAAATAACCCTTTATTATTTCTATAAGATTTCACAAAACTCCGCCTGGAAGTGAACAAATAAAGTCCGCACTTTGGACTTGAACTTAAAAGACTAAGAATTAAACTAAAACTAAGATTAACTAACTAAGTATAGCCAAAGCTATCAAGGTACAATGAGAGTTGGCCCCTTAACCTATTTTACTACGAAGCTTAGCAAGGGCCTGAGTACGACCGAGCGTATAACAGCTTTGAGAGAGAGAGCGGCCAAAAAGGCAGACGCGCGTAGTTCAGAAACTCTGTTTCTCTCCCCGTCTCGGTAACTTCGTAGTTTAAATACCGCTCCTTCTCATTAAATATTCAGCAAATTCCAAAACTACGTTCTGGCCGGCAGTAGTAAGTTGAAGTTAAGAATTTGACAGGAAAGGAACTTTAAATTAAAATTTAACTGTTAATAAAATTAACATAATCCTTACAGCATTTCTAAAAAACCTTTTTGGCTTCAGTTGTTAAATGTCACAATTCTACCAATAACATGATACTGTTTTGTGAGTTTTTTTTTTTACTTAAAATATGCTGCACTGTAGGTAATATTTATGGTTATAAAGGGAGAGAAATAAGATAGTGAAGTAAGATCAGTGAAACATTGTCGAATATAGTATTTTTGGAAGATAGAAATATCAGTGAAACGTTATCGAATATAGTATTTTTGGAAGATAGAAATATCAGTGAAACGTTATCGAATAATAGTTTCATAGCTGCTGACTCTCCTGGTTTTATCGGGCTTTTCATCACATCTCCCGGTTTTTAAGTTTTATCCTTTATTAAAGACTAGGTGTACCCGCCCGGCGTTGCCCGTGCATTTAGAAAATGCAGATAAGTGAATAGCGCAGGAATAGTAGTGTAGGACATGTAGACTGTCTCTCTCTCTTCCCCCCCCCACAAGCTACAAAAAAGAAATGAATTGTAATTAATCGATTTAATGTATCGTCAAAACAGCAAACTAACGCTAGAATAAAGAAATCAATTGTTACAATCGAACGTTATTTGAAAACAAATAATAATATCAGTGAGTCAAAAAAACCGTGATTAATTAATTATAAATAATTTTTTTAAAATTTTTCTAATTCAAAAATCGAAAATCGGGCTTCGAGGTCTGGTGGCCAGCCCCTTTGTGCTTCCGTATAAAAAATTCCAGGTCCCTGCGTGCGATAGATTTGGCTGGAGAGCTCGGTCAGACAGACAGACAGACACATTACACTTGCTTTTATTATTATAGAAGGTGTTTTCAAGTAAGAAATGAAATGTATTGAATGAATGAAACTTAAATTGTGCATATTCTACTTTTCCACCCCCAGTGATTTTCAGAATAATTTTTCTTGTTAAATTTTATTTCATCTGAATTGTATTTCTTTCTTATTACATTTCATTGACCTTTTTTTTTTAATTCTGTTTCATTTTATCTGAATTGTTTTAATCTGCTGAAGACATTTGTAGATTTTTATATCAACATTCAACCAATGTTTAACCATTGTTAATATTTGTATTTATTTTACTTCATTATATGTACATTACTAAGTTTATCAAGATAAGTATTATGTATAGTAATTATTAATTAAATTTTCATCTTTTTAAAAGTACTTCGATAAACAAATGTTTTTCTTCCCGGTTCAGGGTTTTCTCAGTATAAAAGTGTTATAAATTTTCAAAATAAAATTAACTAAAGAGTATAAAATTTAGAATATCTATTAAAAACCTAATATATTTACATCGAAATTATATTAAAAATAGTTCAGTTACCTGAATTATGCATCATAAATTGAATTTAAGTGATTTTGGAGCTCCTCTGAAATGTTATCGCCGTTCAACATGAAAATCTACCGGTTTTTACCGGATTTCTTGCAAAAATCTCTCGCTTTTTTAGATTTCAAAGTTGGTAGCTCTGCAGTTTTCGCTGTATACAAAACAATATTAAAGACATTTCAGAACTGGTAAATTCATTCTTTGTTTGATTTGATTAGACTTTTGAATTTCAAATGAAATCTCAAAAAAGAGATCAATTGTATTAGTTCTATGCTGACTAGTATCTTAACAAGCGAAAAGATAATCAGTAAATACCGGTCATATCCAAGGGTCTAGAAAAGAGAAATACACTGTTTTGTGTTATCCCGGTTCGGCGACTTTTAAGCTATCATGTTTTCGGCGTCTCCAGTGACGTTTCGGAGCTTATCAACTGTTGTATCGAATATTCTTTTCTACAATCCGGGAATGTGCTCTTGACCTCATCCTCTGTAATTAATTCGCTTTGGGAGTTCTGTTTTCAAACGTTTTCAGAAACTGCTCTCTTCTTTTGTGACAAATGCAGCCGGTAGTCACTTGTTCGGGTAATAACTGCATAGAATAGTTTTGTACTTTTCCGTTTTGTACAATCAGATCTAAGAGCAAAAATGTAAGTTTTATGAGTCTTTTTCTTTTAACCTCCCGCCAATCTGTATACATTGGTAAGGAATATAATGTTTTCGACCTCAAAATTCGATAGTGAGTGTTCAGTGAATAAGCACGAACAGGTCCGGCGGAAGCGAACCTGCAAGGCCTGCACCGCAGGCTGGTGCGCCCAGAAAGGGACGTCACCAGTCTCTTCTACGACAGTAATCAATCACATAAATTTTTATTAATAATTATGTGTTTATCAACAAATATTCGTAAAATAATTAAAATAGCAAAATATGTAACGATAGAAATTGCTTTTAATACAAATATATGATGTAAAATTTCTTTAGAATGAAATTAAATATTAAAATTTATGTATATTAGGGCAGAGGCCAGAACCCTTGCTATGGCAACCGGGTGGCAGAAAGCGTAGCGCTGGCCTTACGTACGTTTTTAATATTTTTTTTTGTAAATTCCTTTCTTTAGAATCATATTATTGAATCAATACAACAGCTCTGTGCGATGCTATGGTCTTATTAAATTCAAGCTCAGTTTATTCATCCGTGTAGTCTAAGAAATACACAAATTTTAGAGCCTCACCATGGTTATCCTTGTTATTTTATCTTTACTCCACTTTCATCTTTATTTCTTCTGTGGGTTTCTATTGAGTCTTTGCGGCTAGATTGTTTTGATTTTATAAAATCCTACAGCCTTTATCGTTCTTAGTTATTTATTTTCATCTGCATTTCTTGTTTCCATCATTTATATATTCAAACACCTGAACACCAGAAGTAACTTCAGAGGCTCGATATTTTTACCTCGGTATCAGCAGGCCATTCTTATTTTATGATAGCTCTGCATTAAACTCAGTTC